TGAAATAAATAGTTTTGAATTGAATTATTTGAAAAATATAATTAAAAAGCTTATTATCATAATAATAGTAATCTTTTATAAGATTTCTTTTCTAATTATACTAGTATTTTTTCTTTTACTCAGTTTTATTTCTTTGATTATACAAAGTTAATTTGTAATTTTGAATTATAATATTATATTAATTTTTGATTTTTGATATTCTTTTAAGAATAAAAGATCTCTACTATAAATAAGTCATACTTTTTATTTGTTTTATTTTTTTTTGAGAATAGAAGATCTCTACTATAAATAAGTCATACTCTTTTTTAGTTTAGTTATTTAGTATTATTTATATCTTTTTATTTTAGTAATAATCTTCTTTAATTAATAGTAATTTTACTATTCAATCACTTAAATCTTGAATTATATTGATTATTAGTAACTTCACTAAGTTAATCTTTATAATTTCTTTGATTTACTTCTTTTTTTTATTATTTATTTTACTCTTTTTAAAGATAATATTCATAGATATTGACACAAATCTTAGAAATCTTTATTATTATTGAAAGTATAGTCTAATTCTTCTCTCTTTATCTTTAATTATTTCAGTCTCTTTTAACTTTATATTATTAAGATGAATTCAAGTAAAAATTCACTTGTCAATTTGTTATAACATATTTTTGATGTCCTTTCTGTGAAGAAAGATCCTCTTCACATCTCTTATTATATTTATATCTTTTTATATTTCTTTTATATTCCTTTTTATATCTCTTTCTTTCTTTTATCTATAATTAATAAATATTTATATCTTGAGTTTTCATGATCAATTATTATTCTTTTATTGGATTATCTATTAATTATCATCTTGAGACACATCAAATTCTAAATTATTCTGTTAGAATACTCTCTCAAGACTTTTACTTCTATTGTTATCTCCTTCAACTCCAAATTATTATACAATTTTATATCTTTTGATTGCTTACAGAAAATATTAGAGCAATATCAATTAATCAAATCACATATCTGTTATTTTAAGAATTAATTCAACTTGATCTTAGCAAAATACACATTAGCCAATTAAGACAAAGAATAGTTCAACTAGTAAACATCTTTATATTTGATCGCATTAACACTCAAGAATAACAATTAGACTTAATTGAATAGTTTTACCAATGGTTTATCCATCAAGACTTTACTTTTCAACTGATACACAAATGCTATTATTAATACAATGCAATCAAAGAATTTTATTAATTCTATTATTATTGATTAATATTAACTTCTCTTTATTCTTGATGACTTTTTTTGAAAAAATACAATTGTATATTAAGTATAATTATATATAGAATACCGAAATTAAAAATTTTCTTTTTTTTTCTTTTTTTTATCATCCTTCATACTCATTCATCATCATTATCATCCTCATTTTCATCGTCATCATCATCTTAATCATCATCCACCTCTCCTATTTTTTCGTCTTTCTCACACTAATTTATAATCATTATATACAATATATAATTAAATACATAGTATGACGACGAAGGAGGAGAGGTGAGTTAAGTTATGAATACGAAAATGGTACTGAAACCTTCTGTATAAAGAGTCTAAAAATATCAATAATCATTGTTCTTTTGTTTTTGTTTGTATGTGATTATCCAAAAAAAAAAACCAATTCAAAGGAAAATAGTTAATATAGTGTGCTGAGAGAGGATATTAGAAATATATATGCTGTATAAAGAAAAAAGTGATAGTAATAATAGATATGCTTTTTGTTGACCGTGATATAATATGACCGACGATTGCCCATATTAGGAAAATAAAAAGATATGAATTCGATGATATACTTAAGTGGAATAATAGAAATATCGCCTACCTCTCATCATTTCCCCCCACCTGTAGTATATAGAAATTGACCATGTTGTTGCTGCCCTTCACGGGGACGGCAAAGCTTCACAATTACCACCTTTCTTATCTTCCAGCAGTTTACCTTTATCATTATACAATAGCTTATACGAATTTTTGATAGTAACCTCCGACACACCAGTCACCTGAGCAATTTCTCTGGTTGACTTTGGGTGTGAATATAAATTCGACACTAGGTATATACATGCGGCGGCAACCGACACCGGCGACTTGCCAGCAAGTGTGCCACATTCTTTTACCTTTTTCGTCAATTC